TTCATTGTATCTTACATGTAAAAATGACTGTCATTGCTAGATGTTGTTATCTATGGTATAATTTTTTGGCTTCATCGCATTGATGCTTGAGAATCTGGATTTTTTTTTTCGTTTTTCTTTTCTTTTTTTTAATTGCATGTAGTTTCTCATGTGGAGCTAACAGAGATAACAGACTACATGACCCTTGTCCTTTACCTATATTCTTCTTTTTCTTTTAGTCTGTTAGTGTTTTTCATATCATCTTTGATTCAATTTTTTAAAACTTGAGATTGAGTGTCTAAGGGGAAATGATATTCAGAACTCCTGTTATTTTTAGTCTGAAAGTTTCTATTTATTCATTTTGTTTTGTTTCCATTCCTGTGGAGATACTTTGGAAACTTGTGCCTCTTCTGACTTCCTCCTTGGACCTCAGACAATATTATTGAATTTTCTACCGCCAGACTGTCTCCTTATTACTTGCCTTAGATGTGCAGTCTTCTTTCTTACAACATCATCACCAGTTTCTCAGCTTTACCAGGAGGTATGCATGTATGCATTTCCTTATATAGAGAAATTGGGTAAGGCCAGCATGCGGATAGTTAGCAAATTGTATGGAAATTCCACAGGTTATTGGTTCCAACAATTCAGATTTGCTAACATACCCATGGTGGTGAGAACAAAATGTCCTCAATGTCCTGTGGACGTGCAAGAGATGTTTGGCTGCACCTCTCTTTCAAAAACCAAACCACAGCAGATTAGCAAACATACCTCATTTCAACTGTCAGTAGGTGGAGGGGAGATGATCTTTTGGGCTTGTTTTTCAGCCACAGGGCCTTGGGTGCCTTGCAATCAGTGGGTTGACCATGAACTCCTCTGTATAGCAAAGTATTCTAGAATGAAACATGAGGCCATCTGTCCCACAACTACAACTTAGTCAAATTGGATTGTGCAACAGGAAGATGAGCACAGCACAAAATCTACGACAGAATGGTTAAAAAAAAAAAAGAGAATCAAGGTGTTGCAGTGGCCCATTAAAAGTCCAGACCTCAACCAAATTGAAATGCCGTGGTGGGATCTAAAGGGACCGGTACATACTGTAAACAAATGCCCACAAACCTCAGTTAACTGACGCAATGTTGTAACTCCATCCTGTAAAAATAACTGTTGCATTAGACAAGTAATTTTACTTTTTTCCATATCGCAGATGATAAAAGGACAATTTGCCACCCAAAATTAAGAGTGATAGCGGCAATATGTAATTTGATTTCCTGTCAAGTTTGTTTCTAGGGTGCACATTAATATAGTGTTTCCTACCCATAGTCTAGTACAAACTCTAGAATTTATTGGGTATCTTTACTTGATCAAGGCCATATAGTTATCGTCTCTTTGACCTAGAATAATAATTGGGCTCCTTTGACCTTCCATTGTTTTTTATTACATATATATCATCCTGATAAATCATAATGGCATGGTGTATGCAAAAGTGACTCTCATTAACTTTAATTACAGTGTGCCAAGTCATCTGAAGGCACTGTTTCGTCCCAAGAATCACCCAGATCCTCCCTCATGGCCACAGGCCCTGTCCTTCATCACCTGTGAAGGTGTATCTTATCTATTACTCCTGAATGGCTATTCATTAATCATTCCCTGATTCCAATCAGATGGTACTTGATGGTTAACATGGCTTTGTTTGGCCATCCTTCAGATGGTGGTATTGGTTTTTGGTTGACCATGGCACTATAGATCCTGCAGCCTATTGCTACTGGTACTTCTGTGTGCATAAGAGCAGCATTCCCCTATATATGTAGAAAACTGAGCCATGTAACTATGTGCAAACTGTTCGTCAGGAGTGTTGTGTTCTTAGCCTGACTTTGATATCCAAGTGTTTTAAATATTGGTTGGAGACCATAATCCTCTACTCATTGACAAAAAAACTTTCTACTAGTTTGACCAGAAACTGAGATGCAAAATTACCATCCCATCTCTTTGTCAATCACTAGAAGATGCTTGATGTGACTAATTGCCACAAATAGAAAATGGTGTGTGCAATGGAAGGAGATTGCAGGTAAAGAAAAAAAAAAAGAGGGAGATACAATAGAAATAGTTTGCTCTTGTGGCAGGATATCAATGGCACAAAGATGAAACAAATCAACCTTAGGTAGCCCCGGCTGTTAGCCAATCCATAGTAATCAGTGAGACTGCATTGAGCTCTCCGCTTCACGGACCCTTACCAATCAGCAGAGAAAACACAGATCTGTCATCTGTTTTCCTGTGCTCACTGATGGAGACAAAGGCCAGTGAGAGTAAAGTGTGGTAATTATTAGGGGTGCAACGATACACAAAATCCACGGTTCGGTTCGGTTCGATACTTTGGTGTCACGGTTTGATGTTTTTTCGATACAAAAAAATGTTCATGCCTTTTTAATTTGTCATTTATTAAAATTATAAATATAGATTTTTAACTTGAAAGTACAGTTTTAAATTTAATGTTGCTGAAACAACAAAATAATAATAATTTTAAAAAATCCATCTGATCGAGAAATCACTCATCTTTGGAAAAGAGAATTTATTACAGAGAAATGGCTCTTTCCAAAATAAAAGCTATACTATCTGCTTCTTCTGGGCTATATTCTCAGCAGCATATTAAACATATCAGGTCCCCATAAGGACAATCATGTGCTAACGGCTGTCTAAATGACTCGGATAAAGTTTGTAGCATGCGTGCTTTTTGTTTTTGTCTGCTTTCACTTGTCTTTGCACTAAGATGATGTCAGCGTAAATGTGCAGTCATATTCGTTGTGTTCCCACTAGTGCTGTCAGCGTTAATCTCGTTAAAATGACATTAACGCCATAACGCGGCAAATCTCCGTTAACGAGTTACCGCGGATCGCCCCGTGCGTGGGGCTGGACGGCGTCAACACGTTAACAAGCTAACTGTGCTAATGCACTAGTTCCCACCAATTGAGCATTGCGTGGCACATCCGAAATACTGTTTTACTTTTGTCCATGACGCACTTACCATCAAGGTCATGCTTCACATGAAAACCAAGATAGTTCCAAAGGCCAGATCTGAATGAGGGTGGGGGAGGTTCAATGTCGGGTAGCGTTGAGGCAGTTGCCATGTTGCAACGAGCTTAGCTTCTGTCTTGCTAGCTTGTGCTGTGCTCAGTGGATCTGCACTCGACAGTGCAGCCTCGGCGGAGTAGTCGAACGCAGATAACACAGGCAGCATCGTCAGAAGAAAAGCTGATAAAGTAAATAAAATTATCTTGTATTGTTCGATACATATGCGTACCGAACCGAAAGCACTGTATCGAACGGTTCAATAGGGGTGCACCCCTAGTAATTATATATGAAGGGTGGGTAAGGAAACTGTGGCCCATGTATATTTCTGCCATAATGACCTTTTAAAGTCTTTTGTTCCCCACATTATTTGTCAGTCATTCAACAGTGTCCCGCTGGCTATCATTAGAAAATTGATTAGGGATTTGAACTAATGCATGCCCACTGCTAATGTCATAATACAGATGGCATGACTCACTTCAGCCTTGTTAAGGAGATTTTGTCTAATCTTGTCTTATGGACTAGTCTGGCCAAATGACTTCCAGAGGGATGTGCTGTGTCTATTTGTATTGATCCCCATTAATTGCTATGACAGGGAAATATAAAATTGTATGTTAGGTGTAATTCAGAAAATACCATGCATCTCCTCAGAGAGTGTGTAGACATAAAGGCAATGACGATACAGACAGAGACGCACATGCACACACACATTCACAAACACACATCTGTTTTTGTGTCTGGTGGCATCATGAAATGAACTTCCTGGTAGGCAGATGATTTGGCATCAGTGTGCTCAGGTTTTCATAACCTTTGGATGCCTCCCACCCTTGTCCTACAGAGAACCGAGGACAAAGCTCTGTCCTATTAGAGATGAATAATGAGCCTGTTGGCAAAAGAGACGTTGCTAATGTTTTGCCCAAAACTCTAAAATCTGTCCCCAATGATAATGTATTCTACGCCTGTGCCAAACAGGTCTATATTTGAAAAAGTGATTTCATTGCAGATATGACTTATAAAACCTGTAGAGTGGAAACGCATTGTAATATCTGGCAGGTGTGTAGGCATCAAAATAAGGGCTTAGTTTGTTTTCCTGTAATTGATGTCTTTCCTGTGTGGTGGCATAGCTTTGTTTGTTTATGCTAATAAACAACACCAACTTGGGAATGTGGAATAATTCTTTATAAAGTCTTTAGGGTAATCCTTTGAATACAAAGCTTATTTACTTCATATTTTTTGCAATATTTCATGTTTGTTTTTTTTTATTAAGTGGAATAAGAGAGTGTATGGTAGAATAGTATACTGCAAGCAGAGTCTTCCTACCGTGAAAGGTTATGGTCATCAGAGGCAAAAAGGTCAGCTTCATGGGAGACAAAGAGGGTTTTCCTATAAAGACTGCAACATTTAACTTTTTCTTTTGAAACTCCAAGTCAGGGACCATACTCACAAAGCTGTTCCCCAGGGTAGATTATTGCTTTGTAGAAGAAAATCTTTGAACGTTAACGGTCTCTGTTTTTTCACCATCAACTCTCACTCTTGGACACACAGTTTTTGAAATGTCAGTTCTTTAGGGCAACAGTTCTAATTTTTGTTTCGCTTAGTGTAAGTAAATAGATCTGACTGTGAGTTTTTGTTCAGAGATCCCAGGAGAGTGGCATGCATGCTCAGCAGAGAGACTTCTCACTGCAACCTCCCTCGAACATATTGATCAGGAATGCTTATTGGCGTCAGCCCTGTGAATAAAATGCTGCTCTATTGAGTTCAGTTCCCCACTGGGCAACTGAATGAAGAGACAAAAACCTTTAGCACTTTTTTGTGGACTGCTATTCAGCTCAAATCCTAAGCCTAATGACGTCACCGGTAGGAAGAGAAAAATTGAAAATGGCACCTTTGTAAACTGCACCTTTTGAAATGACAATGTATATATCTGTTTTTCTTTTCTTTCCCCCCCTTTCTGTCAGTTTTATGTTATGTGTTGCAGCTTCTCCAGCAGATCGAGAAGAGCGCCGGATTTGGTGTTTATAAAATCAAGGGCAGATAAATAGTGTTGTTCTCCGGCTCTTCACTCAGAATCATTTGTTGACATCAGTGAGAAGAAGAGGCTTGACATGTGCATCCAGATACATATCCCTGCTGGAATCAACCATCCCATTAACATTTAAAACCCTGGAACATGAAAAATGACAGTGTTTATACAGATTCAGAGTACAGAATGAGCAACCTTCTGTATCCACATTATAGCAATTTTTAAGTTATAGTGTGGTGTGAGGAGTGGGAAATAAACTTTTCATATTTTTATTCTTGTGATTTTAAGCACTTAAATGTTGTGGGAAAAATGATTGTTTTTTTAATCTCTGAAATCATTTGAAATAATCCAACATGTTGAGTCCACTCAGTATGTGTTTTAAAATTAGAACCTTTTGATCTGCCTCTAACTTTTCACCCTTTTGATCTGTTTGACTTCAATTCATCGTGTTTTCCCTGAGCCTCAGAATGACTTTATGTAGTCAAGTGATTTCCCATATATCATTTATTTATTTAGTAATTAATTTATTTGTGTATTAATCTATGAGCTATGTATTTAATATTAAATAATGCACAGTCCTTCATGAGATTTTACGATAAACTTCGGGCTTTCTCAGTGGTCCTTTGTTTTCTGTTTGGTTGGAATATAGGGCAGTACAGTTTGGGTGCTCTTGTCAGAGACAGTTTGTGTGCTGCTATTTCGTAACAGTTTTTTGCGGCAGCCGGGGTTTAAGAGACCTTTCCTGGGTAGTGTGTGAGCTCCTGTCGTCCCCTTCACAGGTGAGGAGACATAAGAAGGGTCCAGACAGTTATGGAGGAGTGAGTGCTCAGAGGAAGAACGTTTGGGGGCAACTGAGCTGGCCAGGAGGCTGGGCTCAGTATCGCTATCTGGTGTAGCATAGCCACTCTTATCCTCTTGTAACTCCTCTTGCTCCTCCTCTTCATCATCGTCACAGCACAATGCATGGTACAGAATTTTGTCACTGAAGCGGACTCTTTCTCTTGTGCCAGAGGTACGGGAAGTCTTGTGGCTGTGCGTGGAGCTGCTGGCCTCCTCGCTCGATGAATCTGGAGTAATAATGCGTGGCCCATTGGGGATGGGCAGCCCGCCATTCATCTGAGAGTAGACAGACGCAGTGGTGGGGGGTGGGGTGGGGGTTTGTGTTTGGGTGAGGTTGGTCCCACGACCCATCTCCTGCTGTGGATCTCCTGGTTGCCCGCAAGATCTGCGAGCGGCTGCACCAGCAGCCTCCAGATAACTGCAGAACTCCCAGCTGTCAGAAAGGACATCTGCATTGAGGAAGTCCAATCGGAAGGCCTCTCCCAAGCCCCGCTCACTGCTGGACGTGCTGCTGGCTGTGGCCACGGTCCAGTCATCTGGCTCCAGGTCAAAGTCAAAGTCAGACGTTAGTTTATCGATTTGACCCACCACCTGTGAAAGAGAATAAACAGTTTTAGGTAAAAGATTTTTTAACCTTAACAGCCACAAAGATCCAATCATAAATCTCTGAACAATGGTTCATATATTTAAGAATTGCTACTAAATTTTTATGTTGTGCCAAGATTTCCAGAGAATGAATCAATAGCCAACTGTAGTGACTTTTACCTCATGACCTCAAGTTAATGATAAACTTCTCTAAAGCTAATGGATTAGTTTAAGCAATATCTGGTGCAATTATGTCTCTCTTAGATTGAATTGCATTTACTTTCCTAACTCCTGTTTTGGAATCAAGATCTAATTCTACTTCTTGTTAGTTTACGACCAAGCGCTTACAAAAATTCAACTTGACCTTTACTTTATGTTTAGTCCTATAGTAAGTAGCATAAAGTGCATTTTACCTCCAATATGTCCTTGTTATCATTTACCTCCAAAGGCCTCTGTGTCCAAAGGTAAGCTTACGAAGGCAAAATAATTAGGATAAAAGCTAAAAGTTACATTTCTGAAAAAATGATGCGTAATAATGTATATTAAGCTTTATATACATAGCAAAAAGTGCACGTATCACCTGTTCTGTTTTGGCTGGACTTTTATATGCTAACATAATTAGAACACATAGCATGTGCACTTTTGCCATTTTTGCATATTTATGTCATGAATGCATATTGAAAAAGAAATATTTTTGCACTTGTAGGAAAAAAATGCAACGAGGGGATAATGGTCTTACTTTTTGCAGACACAGTACATGAATAGACCGACTCCAATTATATGAAATCTCTAGATGTTTCGCATGCCCCTGAATTGCCCCCCACTGGGAAGTTTAACAAAAGCCAACATTTACTCAGTTTGCCTTTACAGCTTGCCATTACTCTCTTTTGATCCATAAATCTATAATTGTTTGTTCATAGTTTGGAAATTGTCTTTATTTCCACCAAGCTTTTCCTCAGACAGGTGTTAAAAAATTTGCTTCATGTTATATTAAGACAAAATTAAACAATCCTTTGGAATGAGCCTGTAGCATGAAAGAGACTTGAGACAGAAAAGGCACCACGTGCACCAAAGAATCCTCTCAGACCAAGCTGTGTATCCTAAATCCAGTAGCTGATTCATTTTAAAATGAGATAAACCTTCTTAGACCTATAGCTTTACAGTATGAACCCCTAATCCAGTGCTTTTGATGCCTGCACTTTGATGTTAATTGTAGTGCTATTGTAATGCCCATGTCAAACAAAATAAACTCAAATGTTCACCTGCTGCACAGAAATGTACCACAAAAGCATTTCATTTATTGTTACCTCAAAATTAACCTCAATGCCTTTGTCATCAGCTTTGTCATTGAGTGTTTGATGAATAGAAAGCACTTCAGTGGAAATCATGCTGGTTTGCTGACAGCACCTAAAATCCGAGCCCTCTATACTTGACATTTTAGCACCTTTAATCAGCATGTTCTGCTCTCAACAACAATCTATTGTGAAATGAAAACACTCAGCATTCATGTAGCTTGTAAATGATACATTTCCCCAAACTATTCAGCAATTAAGCACAGTGTTTTGAACTCAGAAAACTTTTTTTTAGAATGTGTACACCTCGATTTGCCCTGTAATTGCTGCCGAACAGCAGAGAAAGTGTAGTTTCACCCTGAGATTTGTTGAATATGATCTGTTTTCGCCCCCCCATAATTATTTGCAGTGCTTGCTTCTTTCTGACTCTTATGACTACAAAATGAGTATGCTTGTATCAAAAACTCCAAGTCTTATCTCTGTATGTGGAATTGCTATTGTAATTCATTCTTTGTCCAACTTTAAAAGCTGTAAATTCAAACTTGCTGCTCGTGTGCTCAATAAAAAGCTTAAGAATAAAACTGAATCAATCTTCCATCCTAAATTTGGCTCAAGCATGGTTAGATTCTCCTTGCTGCTGTTTTATCTCAATCCTGAATTTTTCTTGGTGCTGATAAGTCAAAGCACCTGCATTTTGAATCTGGCTGCATACCTCTGCACGCACAGCATTGGCTCATCTGTCAATGAGCTTCTCTGCAGATCTGCCAGTTATGGCATCATGCACCTCATGAGTACCTGGACTGTGCTTTTCCACTGGCATGCTGCCCGGAGGGAACTAGGCTGTATGAATCCTCTAATCCTTGAATTACTCCACCTGTTTGCTGTGTGATTTGCAGACTTTTACTCATGGAGCTGTTAATGTAAGATGTTTTCAGGGCCAGAGGAGTCTGAATAGCTTTGTTTACTTGATTGCAAAACCTAATTTAATCAGTGTGTTAAAAGAATAGCTATCAGATGTATTTCTCAACCCTGCTATTAAACCCGAATTTATTATTGTTTGGTTAGTAGTTATTGCCATGAGCAACAAGTCATTTTTATATATCTTCTAATTTGCGTTTAAACAGATGGAGCACTTACAGCATACCGTGGTAAGTTCAGAGAAAGGTAACAGGTAATGCACAAATCGAGATTCTAGTTGCCAAATACATAGTGTTTGCTGTACCTCTGCAGTGACCCTGAACCTGCTTATTTTCTATTTTAAAAGGCATTCCTGCATGCTTCAACTGTTTAGCGTGACCTCTCCCTGCAGTATGTAGTGGGCTAATTTAGCTTGATAACAGTTTCAGCCTGAAGGATCTGCTGATTCTTTTTGTCACAATGCTGCACATGCTCAATGCAACAACAAAGAAGTCTAGTCTCTGCTTTTTTTCCTCCAGAGTGTGTGATGAAGGATCTATGGATGGAATTGGATGAGAAGATTATTTTAGCACAAAGGATGAATGAACACATAAGGAACAAGTTATTAACACTGTGCACAATGTGTTGGAAATAGCAGATGCATTATGAGAATGCATTACGAAGTAATTATGAAACGTGTAACACGGAACTTTATCTCATGTGGACATCACTGCACGTGGGTTATTAATCATATACTGGAAAAATAAATAAATAAATGAAAGCATTCCAGAGATCATGTACACAAACAAGCTATAACCCCCCCCCCCCCCCCTGTGCGTATGGTTTTTATTGTCTGAAACATAGGCCTACAAGGTAAATAGTTGTTAGCTCATAAGGTGCTTATATTGAGTTCTCTTTTGTTTTTATTTCCTCCAAAAATGTAAAAATTCTGGAAGCTTAAAGTTGTGATAAACCTCTGGAGTCAGGCTGTGTATCCCCAACAGACTTCACGGCACATTCATACTACAAAGTTTATGATGCGGTGATGGCATATCCTTGTGACTGAAAAGACTCCATTTGCAACACAGTTAAGCAGTAATGTGTAGTATAAGCATGGATATAAAGTGCTGGGGATTAGACTTTAACTTCAGTCTATAATTTTCTCTCCATGCCTCTGCTGACAACTTCACTTACTTGCTTTACTGTAAATGCTGTCTTATAGAAGCTATTAAAAAGTATGATGACTATAACAATAACTATGATTTTCTGTGTGGGAATGGTAAGCAGAACATGATTTGTTTATTTTAGATTAACGGTTGCCCAGGAAGAATCGCACACACAAACTGAGTAATAAATGGCATTGTAATTTTTTTTTCTGTTTCATTGCACACTATCAGC